GAATAGAGGAGGGGGCACTGGCAGCTATGGAGGCAGAAAGGGGGTCAAAAAGCATCACAGACGACTGCAGAGGAATGCTGGGTGTGACGGAAAAACCCTGGTTTGGTGTAAACGAGACATTAAAGGGTGTAGTGTGTGAAGCGTCAGGGGTGGTGTGCGGCGAGAGGCCAAAAGAGGAGTTCAAACAAGTCCACAGAGAAAGTACAAGTTGTGAGAGTAGATGTTCAGCTCTGAAAGGTACTTTTAAGGAGACGTTTAGCAGCATGAACACGCGATACTGTATTGTTTACGTAACGCCACAATGTTGATCTCAACTGTCTCAGTAGAATCAGGTTCATTGATTTTCTCTTTCACACTTTTTATTGTAGTCAGGAGCAGGTTTTCTCATGTATACACTTGGATAAAGAGTTTATAATTACTTCTTACAATGCTAAAGTCAGAGATTTTACACTTCATGCTTATATATTTTATGCTTCTTCATTTCATTTTATAATAATTTAGTATAGAGTTACTGTTCATTTATCTTGTGCTGTGTGCTCCTCATTCCTACTGTTCTGAAACTGTGATGCAACACTGACATCGAGCCCGCTCGAACTCTGAGGAGTGCGGGGACTGGCCTCCTGTTGGTGCCCAGAGTCGGGACTAGACATGGGGAGGCAGCGTTCCAGACCTATGCACCTAGAATCTGGAACAGTCTTCCCGAAGGTGTGAGACAGGCTCCTACTTTAGCTATGTTCAAGCCCAGGCTGAAAACGATTCTTTTCAGCCGTGCCTACGACTGATCATCAAGAAATCGGATCATCAATTTATTTTTGATGTATGTATTTATTCATTTTCTTAAACTGTCTTTTGTAATTGTTTTTACAGTGTGTTTTTAAATTGTTTTTAAATTGCTTTTAAATGTTGCCGATGTGAAGCACTTTGGGTTGCATTCTGTATGAACTGTGCTATAGAAATACACATTGATTGATTGATTTCCCCACTGTGGGATCTCTTCCTCTTAATCTAGACCTATGCACAGTGCTGGGTACATTAAATTCATTTTATTTGCCATTTGCAGAAAAATAACTGGTGAGTTACTTACTAACTTAGTTATGGTCTCAATAACTTTGGTATTACTTTTGTCGTAATAAATATATATATTTTTTAATCAATGGCACTAAACAACAAATGAGTGAATAAAGACTGAACACAAACACATCCTAAATGCTCCACAGTGAAGTTGTGTCAGATAGTTCTGCAAGTGACTAATCATATGAATGTAATTATAGTTTTATAATATAATTAGTAAAAGTAAAATGATTACTGTAACTAATTAATTACACCCAACATTACCTACACATGTAAGTCGTTTGTGTTGAATAGCCTGAGAGGTGGCGGCACTGAAGCTTTGATTGTTCAATAATAAGATTCTATTACAGTAATATCAAACGTTGGGTAAACAGTTCAAACTAGGTTAAAAGATTATAAAGTTTTACTGCACATTCTGTGTGGAATTATAACTATATACAGTATTAGTATTAGATAGCAATATTCAAATCCTGATGTGATCTTTGGCCTTTTAATGGATTCTGCTTCAACACAAAAGCACGAGCCTGGAGGGCAGAGACGCTCACATGCTGCAGTCTCACAGCGGGACAGGGCTGAGGCGGCACAAGTCACATGAGTCACATGAGTTTGTCAATCACATGTTTTGACAGTTTCATTTTCAGTTTCACAAATGTGTATTTTGTAATGAGAATAACATGTTGCTGTATAGAGGTGGCACTGTTCACAGTAGAATACATTTTATATTATTATAAAATGCAGTTCAGTAAATTAAATAGTTAAATAAGAATGTGTTGGCATTCTGTCTCAGAGGTCAGAAAAACAACAGATGAATCACACTTCTCCAAACTTTGCTCTTTGATCAGCGGTGAGTAAAGAATGTGTGGATCAATAGAGTTCATCGAAGTCTCTGAACTCCACGAGTGAATTTCTGTCTGCTCGTGTTTCCTACAGCCCCATATCTGCGACTATAAGCCACAGTCTTTAGAGACAGTGTGAAAGGTGAGAGGATCTCAGTATTACAATAACTTCACAGACAGGGATCAAAATAACGCCTACAGCCATTTAGACCCATCGACTTTCTGCTTTCCCACAGAAGTGACAGTAAAAGTACATGAGATATAGCACATATAGATTCTGGAATAACACCAAGGATGATTCTTCGGACCTTTAGCAAACACAATCCTCCTCCACAAAGCTGAAGAGATCTATCTATGTAGGTTATCGACATGACCTGACCCACATGTGGAGGTAACATCAGTGGAATAATAGCCACAGTGGGGATTGCATAAAGAAGTCATAGGTGGTAAAGTACAGGTGAAAAATCTATGAGTGAGTAATAACGGACTCAGACTTACATTATAACAGCCACACCAAATCAATAACATATCGGCTTCTACAAAACATCTGGTGAACAAACAGAAATGTATTCTTCCGTGCATCCATCCAGGCACTTGTCTCAGTAGGTTAGGTCAGTGTTTTTCAACCAGTGTGCCATGGCCTGTTAGTGTGCTTTAGGATTTTGTCTGGTGTGGCTTTTGGAAATTAATCAATATCACCTAAATTATATAAGAAAAGAAAAACAGTGGAAGAAAATGATGTGAGCAAATATGTTTTTTTTTCTCTGTGCGTATTTGGTTATTAAATACACTTTAATGCAATTTTTGAGACATTTTCATCTAGTGGTGTGCCACATAATTTATCTAAACAAAAAGGTGTGCCAAGGCTCAAAAAGGCCAGGGAACTCAAGGTCAGACCAGAGTTTTTCAACCGGTGTGTTGTGGTACCGTGTTAGTCTGCCTTGGTTGTTTGGTGACACTGTGGAAATGATCCATTATCATCAGAAAGGTCAAAATGTAATATGAAAATAATGTGAACAGAGAATAATGTGAGAAAATTAGACTATACTATACAGTAATAAGACTTTTTGATGCTTGTTTAATTTTCTATATAGTATATTAATGATGAGAAAGCATTGTTAATAAAAGTTGAATAAATGTAAGTCATGTTTAAATCCAGGATAAAAAGCTGTGAAATGTTAAAAAGCACTTTGAATTCCCTTTGTATGAATTGCTCTACACAAAAACATGTCTTGAAAGATGAAAACGTAGATTTGAAAAACAAGAATTCTGACAGATATGTGATTCACTGACGATGCATGAGTCAAAGCGATGGGAAATGTGTATAATTAAGTGGAAAAGTGCTGTTTTCCAGATTATTGCCAAAATCACATGTTTAAAAAAAAATAAAAGTTAAGGACTGAATGTGTGGCCTTTGCATTTATGATACAAATACAGAGAGTGCAAGCAAACACACAAATACAACAGTAGGTAGACACCATTAAACATTAAACACCCATTAACATTAAATCTCATGATTATAATACACTCTAGATACTGTATTACTGCATGGAATGATGTAGCTGAAGCACAATAGAATGTTGCAATAGAATGAGAAAGAGGAAGCAAGCTCTGGTACCTAATTAAAATGTCCCAACAGAAAATAAATTTAGTGAACAAATCAGACAACATGCTGTCTTCATTTTGTTAGAACACATTTGATTGTTTTCAGACTTGTAAGAAAGAGCCCTGCGAGACATGATTTGACCATTTTTGCATTCAGAAAAAGCTGATCTAAACATGTGAGAGACTAAAAACACACACATGAACCCCAGTAATAGAACCCAACTGTTTTGTGACAGATTGTATCACATAGATACATTTGCCGTGGTTTAAGTTAGGTAACCCAGATCTCATCATGTTTGTGGCTCCAGGTTTTCACACTGACAAAATACCTGTGAATTATGGCCAAAATGTATTTATTAAATGTACATAATGATACGACAATGAGTGTAACTTTAAGACACAAAGTTATTTTCAAAGCCATGAAACGAGAAAATCCCTGAATATTAACAGCCCATTTGTCTTGACTCGTTTCAGGTAACCCAACCTTTGATGGCCTTTGATGGTCGAGCATCATTTTAAAGAGAGTTGGAACAAAAACAAAACATTTCTGTGTAGGGTTTTGAACAACAAATTCATGGTTTGCCACAGACGTGTATTAGAAGTGCTGATGTCACCACAGTGTTTGTCAAATGTGGAAGAAGCTGATTTGAACAAAAGTTAGCAGGAGCTTGTTGTTAAGATGGTTGCTAAGGTAACCTGGAGATTCCCCCGCCAATGAAGGCATCTGATTGGATTTACAAAGACAACATCAATGGCGAGTGTGACACAACCGGTTACTGAGCTCAAGGAGTTTACTTTGTCCATGAGCACTTCTCTTTTGGGCTACATTGAACGAGGGGGTGAGCATTGTCCTATCTATAAATAGGCTATTATTTTTACTTGCCCTAAGATCAGTCCAATTAGATGGAAGTGTTTTAGCAATACTTCTGTATAAAATGTGAGTGAGTGTGAAAGACCCCATGATAACAATACATTTTATCTACTCTTGAGTAAAAGAGCAGAATCACTATATTACTAATTCTCTTATCAACATGGACTCTGTATTATTAATATAAGTTACTTTAGAAAAAAACACAGGACCTTGTGAATATCACTTGTGTACAACCATGTTTCAGCGGGTGAGCTACAACAATAAAGATGTATTATTATTATTTATAAAACAGATAATTGCTCAGCACAAACTCTTGGTTACGCCCCCTTTAACCTCATTCACCCTCTTTCAATGAGATAAGACCAAAATACTCTGACCAAGCTTTCACACAGTTAGTCCTTGGTCCTCATGTCATTTGGTTAGTTACAGGTCATTCCTTAAAACAATTGTTATTCATCCAACCTTAACAAATGTAGCATTGGCCTCTCACAGATCTCACCTGTAACTCCCATGTCTCTGGTGATATCTAACAGTGTGAGCAAAAGAACGTGTTGGATCGCTTAACAATCGCTTTGCTGTTTTATATCGTCATCACAAATACAAAAAGTCCCAGTGGTCTATAGGAGGATGCAGGGTTTCTTGTCTTTGAAGGGGTTCTCTGAAGCGGGGACCCCCATGAGCAGAGCGTCATATTTGGCGTGTTCACTGCAGTAACGCATGAGGTCAGACGACGCTTTGGAAACCTGTGGAGAGAAGTTTAGATGTAACTTGTGTCTATAGATTGAGCTCTGCACTGATGGGATTCATAAAAGATGGCTAATTTAAAGTGTGAGAAAGTGTGAGACTGTGAGAAAACTGGGGCAACGGATGGAAATTAGACTCCACTCCATGTGTATTTACAGCATTTTGTTTGTTAATATTCACTGACAAAGCGGTTCTTTCATGAATTGATGTGTTGATAGAACGTAATAAAGAAGCCTAACAAGTTGTGACATATGTTGATTATCTATTTAACCAGGAAAGTACCACTGAGGATGCAGAATCTCTTTTTCTGTAGAGTCCTGACCCTAGAGACCGGGGAATGATTGCACATATTTTTAGTGCTAGTGGAAACCGGACCACCTGGAGGAAACTCCTTCTTGCTGAGAAGTAAGACCACTGTATTGTATCTCTCCAAGGTTGCTGTATGGTATAATATTGTTATGTCCCCGGAAGGAAATGTGTCCTTTATATTCTGAAATTGAGAAAAGTGGTGCATGCTATTCCTTTATGACCATGTTTCTGCTGACAGCACTTAAAGGGGCAGAGCACAGATCTGTATGACCAGACGACATACAGAAATGCACAGACTAATTAGCTAGAAGTGCTATAGATGTGTCATATGTCATACATACATAAATGCACAATACCACAAAAAAACATTGAAAACAAGTATATTGAGACATTTCGAAGAAGCCATCTTGAAAGCGATCACCTTTATTCGGTCGATCCTGGCCTCGATCCGGAGCTGCTGCACTGTGCGTCGAGCCTGAGCCAAGCTGCTTTTGGACGACATTCTTCACACGAGATCAGATCTACAAGAGAAAATACAACAACGTGCTCAGAATAGTGAAATATACTCCTCCAATCTTCCCCATAGAATCTCAACATGTCTTTCAAGAACATACATTTTAATAAAATATCACAAAAATCATTGGAAGAAGGAGTTAAAAAGATTCCTACAGGAAAGCTTATCTGGTTTTGAGTGTTTTTTATTTATTTCATGAACGGTGCCTGGCAACCCTGGCAATACAAACTTTTGGCGATTCTTTTTTCTATCATCCACTACAAAAAACAATAGAAATGATCTCATGTTTACAGTGTGTTTCATAGTTTTTATTAAACAAATATATGTATGCTTTTGCTCATGTCCTCAGTCGGTGGCACAGCATGTCCTGAACAGTTTAATGAGGGTGCGCAGGTAATAGGACACATGCAGAGAAAAGACATGTGAGGTTAGGCCTGGGGAGAGTTATGAGCGGCAGTAGCTCAGTTGGTCGAGCGTTGGCCTTTGAGCCAGAAGGTTGTGGGTTCAAGCCCCACTCAAGACTTTCACCATCGACTCCCACTGACTACTGTCGTTGTGTCCTTGGCAAGACACTTAAGGCCCTGTCCACACGAAGTCAAGCTCAGGCCTAAACGCAAAAATACTTTATCAATCCAGTGTATCGTCCATACAAGGCCGGCGTTTTGGGGGGGTGTAAACGAACATTTTTGAAACTAGGTCCCAGAGTGGAAAGATTTCAAAACTCCGTATATGCCGCTCCGTGGTTACTGCCTCTCCGCAATGTATCTGAGACGCTTGCGTCATTGCCCCGCCTCTTGTTAAAGCACGCATGCGCCGCACTCAGAAAATAATGACAACAACAATGTAGCTTGTTGGTTTTGTAATCCAGTGTGACCCGAAGCAACAGTTCAACCTCATCGTCCGTCCATACTAATGTAGTACCAGCTCGCCCACTTGCCATGTTGTCTGTTTACAAAATTCTGCGCATGCCCACGGAAGTTTGGGCTTGATCCCGTCATTGCGTCACAGCGCCACCAACAGGTCTGGCATAGTTTCACAGCGTTTTCAGGCGTATTGACTACATTCATATGGACGCACACATTTACTGAGCTAACTCCGTGTTTACAGAAAAAGTGTCTGAAATTATAAGCGTTTTGTCTTCGTGTGGATATAGCCTTAACCTCTGGTAACACCAGCCACAGTGGGAGTGACACTTCACCCCCATTGCCTAGAATGAGTCTGGTGTGTGTGTGAATGGTTGGTGGTGGTCGGAGGGTGCATACTGGTTGGCTCGCTTCTGTCAGTGTGCCCCAGGGCAGCTGTGGCTACAGTAGTAGTTTATCACCACCGTGTATGGAGTTAATGAATAATGACACATGTGAAGCATCTTTGAGTGTCCAGAAAACCGATTTATTATTATGAGGCCGCTTTACAGTCACAACAATAGACAAAGTATTACAAAAGGGATCGGTCAGAGAAATATAAAAATAAGACATTATACTACAACCTAAGTGACAGCAATTGTGACTACATTCATAGAGGAGTGCATTAATAGTAATAATTTATTTCATTTAATGCAGCTTATTAAGACACCCAAGAATGCCTTACAAAAGAATACAAATGTCACACAAAATATTAAAAATATAGATTATTAATATAGCAAACATAGCTTTGTAGGAATGCCATATACATATATTTAACAGAGATATACTGTATTGTAGTGTGTGTTTAGATTTTATGATGGGCTGATCTTTATACAGGGATTTCAAAATTCAATATCAATCAATTTCACTTTTTGCCAGTATGCCAGTAACACCTCACACAGTGCAGAAAAGTAAGAAAAGAAAAAGTTCTCTCTGACATTTAGATGGGTCTATAGAGCATATACACATGTTTAGGTTGAAACTGTGAAAAGAAAAGTGCTGTGGTTTGAGGCTCTACCGAGGGCCTTTATCCCCACCGCTGTCAGACTGTACAATAAGTCACTTTAAGACTTGCATTAGGACTGGAAAAACCTGCACTACTATTGGCACTGTTTCTTCATTGCCACTTTTTATTGTACACAATATACCCTGCATTTAACATGTTTGCAAATTTCTTTCTTTTGCACAATCTTGTACATTTCTCCAGTGTGAGATCAATAAACTCTCTTATCTTATCTTTTCACTATTAATTTCCCATTCAATTCTTATTCTGCTTGTAAATAATAAGCTGTATCAATTTGATACATATGTAAAATTTAACTTGTTATAGGGTAATTGAGCTATATCATACCTGTTACCTATTTTTTGTAACTCATTTACAACCATAGTTGTATTTTATACAAGGCAAAAAAATATATAATTGTATATTACTTTTAATAATATGTATTTGAAGTTTCAATGTTGTAATTTCTCTGTGTATAAATAGTGCTTCAATGTGAAGACAGACACGTCAGTGCAGTTTAAAAAACAAAAGAATAATGTAATAATTTGCACAACGACTTTTGAAACCGGTGAAACATTGAAACATTCTGTTTTACTCTCTTAAGCAGAATTTGAGGACACATCGTAGGAACTTGAAAAAGTCAGTTACACAATGTTGTACATTGAGAAAGCACTGAAAGTACCACTGAAGTCTACACAGTTACAGGATCTATTGAAACAGAAATAGCCAACCTTAGTTTTTTTGTGTTTATCCAGCAGAGAACTATCTCTTGTATTTTCTTGCTAACATGAAGTGTTGTGGTTCTTGTAATCGCATTGTCACATCAATGCTTTTACATATGTATAATAAATACGGTAGTATGCATTGGCAACAGATTTGTGACTTATTCTTTCCAATGTAAACTGCAAAGCAATACTCTTTTCTTCAAACAAGTGTGGAAAAAGCAAGTCCTGCAGTGATGTGTGCTGAGTGTCTGGAAGCCTCTTTGTGACGTAACGTGGCAGAGAATGAGAAGCTCGTATCCTGGAAGTTCAGGGAATTGTGAAACCAGCCGTTAGGTCCTGCCATTTACGCACTTCAGCCACAGTTCAGAATAAGTAAACAGGCTCTTCTGGGAAGATATTTAACTGCTGCTGTCTCAGTTTTATGCACATTTGATCAAATAATCGTTCCAAAACACTAGAAGGCAAATGATGAGAGAAGCAAGATAATAGCTTTCAAAAGAATTAAGGTGTGAAGGGTCTGAGGACAGGGAATATCCCGAACATGTATTCACATGTATGAACATTTATGGACATATAAGTCATCCCGCTGCCCCATGTTATTGTTTTTCCTGTTTTGTAATTGTTTGATTCTTATAATCTGCTGTTGAAAAAAGAAACCTGATTTAATGAAGATACTTCTACAGGTCAATCTACAGAGATTGTCCTCATACCATGATAAAAGAATACATCAGATTGAAATGCATGGGTTAAACACACACAGAGTTCATGATTGGTATCACACATGCACCAGTGATTTGTAACTCTCTACAGAAGGAAATAGAGGAGGGGGATCAAACATGGCCAACAGGGCTCACAGGACTGAACCCTCTGATCCACCGCCCACTCTCTTCCTTCCTCTTCCTCCACAGGAAGCTCCATGTACTGCTGCTACTAAATGATTTAATATGGGCAGGCCGCAGCAAAAATAGACCAGAGCACCACCTTCTTGAAGGCTTTTGTTCACTGCACAGACACACAAATGATGACAGTGCACATCCTTTGGACCCACAGTCTATTTTTGCATTCATATTCTACATCCTGTCTGCATTCACAGACACAACTTAAGACTTATTTACAAAGTAGGATGAAGCAGGAAGCTAAGGTACCACACAAAGTAATAGTTTAAAATACTTTCTTTTTAAATATGAAGCCAGTGTTCTTGTTTTGGTTTGTGGTGACAGTTTTTGGAGTAATTACATTAAAACCAGCCGCAGCAAATACACGGACGTCAAAGGCCTTTTATCAATGCAGACGACCTTCTGACGCCATGCTGAGCTTTGTGAAGGTCCCTGCTGTCTGTCACACCCTTGTGTCTTTCCGTCTTGCATCTGTATGACCTGCATTTCCACCATTGTCTGTCTGTTCACACCCCATGCCACTGCCACCACAGGGGATAGCGCCGGCGCTTCCTGTGCGCCTCCTCACCGGTGGCCCCCTCCGCTCCGTTGTGGGCGTGACTATCTTTGGTGTGTGTCTTGTATACAGGAAGCTCGGGGCTCTGGCCCCCAGAGCTGGGACATGCTGCTTTTGGAGTGTATGTGCTGGCTCTCCGCACTGTGCGTTAACAATAAACTTACGCTTTTGATCAGACAAAGGACCTTTGAGTTTTCTCCTTCATGGGGTATATAATTCTATAACAATTTGGCGTTGCTGGCATGTCTTGGCATGGATACTTTCGGCGGGGACGAGCGGCTTTGTTTGGCCGACCTGGATCACCAGCCTCTGTTCCTTTTTGGAAACAAAGGAGGGCGCGCTCGTCCCGCGCACGGAAGGAATCCTTTTGCCACACAAGACCAAAAAGAACCTAATCTGGTGAGTCTTGTCTTTTCATCTGCGTAACGAGCCCAGGGCAGCACTTAAGTGTACACGGGGATTTGTTTATTTATGTATTTTTGGGGTATTTCATTCATTGCCACAGCATAGTCTGTGTGCGGGATTTTTTGGGGGGCTTTTTGTTCTAGATTGAAACTAGCGGCTGCGCGTTAGTATCGCATTGTAAGCGACCCTGGAATCTCTGAGTGTCTTCAGCCAGAACCGCTCCGTTTTCAAGAACGCGCGCTCGCTGGTTGAACCAGCGGGGGGGGGAACGGAGCGCCCCAAAGTGGGTAGGAGCAGGGAGAGACTAAGCGGGTTAGGCCCATTGTTCGTACGAGAAAATGGGTAAAATCAATCTACAGATGCAAGCTGTGAAGTGCTTGCCTATGGTGCAGGTCATCTGCGTGATAATTTAGAAGAAGAAGGGAAGAAAAAAAAATAAAAAATATACTTGGTTTTAAGAATATCACGGCAAAAGAGGTTAGAGAAAGAAATATGTAAAAA